TCTTAAAACTCTTAAATCTTGACTTTTATAATGCTTAACATTCTCCTGATTTTGACTTTATAATCTATTTGGGAGAAGAGAAATGCCGACGAAGCCATAAGTTAATTCAGTACCGCTAATTGCTTTATTAATCCCTTCTGATCCCTTCGCATTATCGTTACTTTTGACTTTTTTAATCTTAAGTTGGGAGAAGAGACCGGGGGCGGTCGGGTAGCCTAGTGGTTAAAGCGTTTGCTCGTCACGCCGAAGACCCGGGTTCGATTCCCGACATAGGTACGATGTGTGAAGCCCATTTCTGGTATCCCCCGCCGAGATATTGCTGGAATATCGCTAAAAGCGGAGTAAAACCATACTCACTCACTCACTCGACAGTTCGGTACTGAACATTGCAACATTACAGTTTCACCATTAGAACTGCTATTACCGTCATGACACCTGGTGTTTTTGCAATAGGCGTGTTTATCCAACGACGTACACATTAACCGCTACTACTGCCTCGACACCTGGTGTTTTTGCAATAGACGTGTATAACCAACGACGTATACTAAAACCGCTAGTACTGCCACGACACCTGATGTTACTGCAATTGAAATGTATATCCAACGACGAAAATGTGATTTGCTTTTACCTTCACGCACCTGGTATTCTTGCAATTGGCGTGTATGTCCAGCGACGTACACATGAACTCATACCCTTCCCTTCACGACACCTGGTGTTTAGTAAGATAAGTTTATACCTGGGGTAACATAAAGTGCGGGGTTCCTTCGTGACACCTGGTGTTGGTTGAACTACTTTTTATTCAAATGACTATACCTTAATGGAAAACTTTTACGACACCAGGGCCCACTTGCACAAAGCAATCTTAGCGCTAGGACTGTTGTAAGCCTATGCTGAAGTATGGGAGTTACGATCATCTTAGCGCTAAGATCGCTTTGTGCAAGTGGGCCCCGGTGCTGGACAGTATGTCCGTGTATTCAGTGTACTGGGTTTTGGCAAGTGAACAGGTTTGTTAAAGCTAAACAGTGACCATATTACATAGCAATTCTAACGTGTTGGCGACAAACGTCGTACCCGTGAATCTTTTCAAAATATGTTGACACATAACGTATTTTTACACCACATTTTGAAAGGGCAAGTAAAGTCTTATGTTTCTTTCATCCTAAATAGTCCATATAAGCGCTTAATATACACCTTATACATTGACTATTTTAATATTATTTACTACTCAAAAGAAGTTAAGGATCACCTGATTCTTTCATATTACAATAGTTAATCTCTCATGCCATGACAGATTAACATTACCAATATGAAAGAATCAGGTGATCCTTAACTTCTTTTGAGTAGTATATATCCATTGTGACATTTTTAAATAGATAATTCTTAAATATTCAGTACAATTTCGGGGTACGCACAAATGCTTGAAATTAAACTCAATGGTGATTACAGGAAACTGAAAGAAGTAAAAAACAGCGAAAGTCCAGATTTCAGCTTCACATGAAGGACAGAAATGGCAGGTGGCTCCAGAATACCATTGCATGTTCTACCTTGAAACACCACACATCCAAGAACCACATCCTAATTGATCTAGATTCTGGGTTTTAAGAGGATTGGGTAAATGTACCGTAGTCTATGATTTGACAGTATAAGTTCAATATACCAGAGAATCTACTTTTACACGTAGCCCTTAATGTCCGGTGTCGCAGAGATAACAGCCCTAATGACAGATAAGCCACTAAACTCTCTGATGTTAAGACGAGACACAGACCTCGTGGAGACAAAGATGCATCTGCTTGCAAATCTCCCTGCCATTCCGACACATCTTCTGTTTGCTCGCTCACGACATGGTTTGTTAAACACACACAGACACTGACAGCTAAATTTATACATCCTCCCCTGTTTCACACAAATTGTCCCCCAAATCCCAGAACGCGCGTTAACCCGGACCAATAGCATATGAGACAGCTGGCACAGTGGCGGTAGTGTTGCATCCTGGTCTTGTAATCTCCATTCCTGGATAACGACGTGATCGAAGTCCGCAGCACCAGTCTCTGGTCCTCATGATCAAACTCCAAGGCAAAGCCTCTCAACATCAAATTGCAATCCGAGTCTCAGATGTGTGTATAGAAGGTTGGCTGGTGGTTTTTATACCTGATTACTGCTCTGGCTTTATGTCCAGGCTTCCATAGCGACAGTGCTTGTAAAACAACTACAAAGTAAGAAATCCTACCTCGCGAACAGTCTATGTTTGTACTATCCTGCGTTAATCTGGAGGCGGGTAATAGAGCCTAGATATATGGGCCTGTATAGCACCACGGGATCACTCCACTGTGCTGTAGTAATGAATTATCTAGAAATAATGTTGTTTTATCTTTTGGCTAATTACATTGTCTCTTGATGGGCGTTTTCTGTTCGGATTTACAACGTGTACCCCGGCTTCATACATCCAGTCGATTTATTGTTCTCAAACATTGGATGACACATGTGAAGAAGTAGGCAGAGGTATCAGGGCGTTACAATTCAATCTGGTTCTGTGGCGTGAAGGAGAATGACGCCGCCACGTGAAGGTCAATTCAACATACCTGGTATACATGTCTCTTTAGTGAGTGAGTGAGTTGGGTTTAACCCCGCTTTTAACATTATTCCAGTTTTATTACGGCGTGTCAGCTGAATGTGGGAGGAAAAAGCCCCAAGTGATGCAGGTCTGAGACGTTTACCATTTCGGTGAAACGCACGAGCATGGGTATGGTGCTGACAAATTTAGAAACATAATCGGGGCGAACCGGGATTCGAACCCATAATCATAGGTTACTGGCGTGCCCAAGGGACGCAACTCTGCACAGCGAATAGCGGCACCTTAGACGACTGGGTCACCTATGCACCCACATGTCTCTTTAAACTCACTGGGTTGGGGCGTTTATGTGGTGCTGATCTCATATGAAACTTTCGCTTTTCAATACAATTATTTTGTCGCTGTAAGAGATCAATGTTTGAAAGTGAGTGAGTGAGTATTGTTTTACGCCGCTTTTAGCAATATTCCAGCAATATCACGGCGGGGGACACAAGAAATGGGCCTCATTCATTGTACCCATGTCGGGAATCGAACTCGGGTCTTCGGCCTGATGAACAAACGCTTTAACCACTAGGCTACCCGACCGCCCCTGTTGTGGCTGGAGGGTATTCCAACACACAACATTCCACCTGTGCGTGTTCTAAACCTGTTTTGAGTTGCATAGTATAATGGATGGTAGACAATCATTTCAGATCTTACAGTCTTTGTTTCTAAAAGAAACGCATGGTTACATAGTTCACAGTCACGATGTACAAACGCCGAGTTCAGGTGATATGTACATAACGTCTGATTCACTCTGGGTATATGCTCAATTCCTGAAGGGTTAGTCCAATTACCTGTTATCTCACACATCAAGGTACGATGCCGAGAGAACAGCTGGGCGATAATGTACATGACGTGATACATCAAGGCGATAATTAGATTAGTGAGTGAGTTGGGTTTAACGACGCTTTTAACAGTATTCCAGTTACATCGCGGTGTGTAAGCTTTATGTGGGAGGAAAGACCGAGGTGATGCAGGTCTCAGACGTTTACCACTTCGGTGAAACCCACGAGCACGGGTATGGTGCTGGCAAACCTAGAAACATAATCGGGGCGAACCGGGATTCGAACCCGCAATCATAGGTTACTGGCGTGCCCAAGGGACGCAACTCTGCACAGCGAATCGCGGCGCCTTAGACGACTGGGCCACCCGTGCCCCTTTAATTAGATTAGCTTCCCTTAGTTCTTTCTTGAAATGTTGTGACAGGTCAGTATGGTCAATGTATGTTAATGTGCTTCCTACTTGAAGGTGTATTACAATTCACTGCTACAATGTAACGCAGTTCAATGTAATCCTCGAAACAAAACTACACTGTGATCTTGATGATGACGACGGTGATTATTATTAATAGTCATATTTTTATCATCATAATTATTTTCGAGACAGCCTCCGTGTTCTAGTGGTAGAACGTCCACCCGGAGAGCGGAAAGGTCGATCCGGGCGTGTGATACCAAAAGACGTTAAAAGATGGTACTTGTTGTTAGCCTGGCGCTCTGGCGCTCGTCATTTGGGGGCTAAAACAAGGACGGCTGTCGGCTCGGAGTCAATGTCAGTATTCATGTTAAACTGTGGCATGGTATCTCAGTGGGCTAGCACTATAAATCGGCATCAGTCCGGACTACTACAAGCAGACACACACACACGCACGCACGCACGCACGCACGCATGCACGCACGCACGCACGCACACGTTATATACCCCTATTTCACCTCACCTCACCATTATTATATATCAAGGGGGATAGATTGATGTCATTACAGTCTATGAGTTACTGATGTCACCGCATGTTCGGTAGTTTTTCTACTGAAATCATATAAAGTGACATTGAACATGAGTTGTTAAACCATTATTAGATATTGAGTTTATAAAAAATAACATTATCATTCTATTGTTCACTAAACAATGAAAAGTCCTGCTTGATTAATTCCTCATTTTATCTAAATACATATGCCCGATAAAGTAACACAATTGTGCGTCTATTCCATTATCGGAGGATCCGTGCTCACGATTGATTTAAAATGGACGTGCGAACACTTTTACAATTAAATACATTAATCTTTGCTCATCAAACTCTAAAACAGTAATCATGTCGGGCAAAACTGTGTTGCACGCTGACGTTTCATACGTAAATTAAAGTACTCGACTACTAATCAATATTTAATGCCATTCAGAGACTGCATCTGGTCCAGTTCACCATGAAGCCCACGGTAGCGGTAAACTGCGTTATTTACGGGCAAACGTCGCTGTTTTCAGGACGATATCTGGTCATTAGATGTACCTTGGTGATTCAACTCAATGGCGGCCTGTCCCCGATACTTAGCAGAGGAAGTAACTCTAACATGACACATCTAATAGGAATCTGATAAATACCAACTTTTTTGTTCCGCAGAGAATGGGCTGGAGTAGGCCTTGTCAATGGAACAGCCACTGGGTCATCGAAAGGGGACTTTTAAATGGGCTCATCTGTGATAGAGTACCGTGAGGATGACACTGACTCTTGAGCAAGCTGGCAGAGAAGTGGGTTACAAGAAGAGGATAGAACAATAACCTGGACAAGCCGTGTTACGACTCTCGCAAGAACCTAGGGTGCACGTCGATTTAGGAGGGGATACCTGGATAAGCTGGATGATACTCATATTGATGCTCCCGCGGCTTATAGGTCCAATTGCAGAATGTTTCCAGCGAATAGTATAGGATAAAGGTGCATTGTGATTGTCAACGTTCGCGAACACAGACTCTTGTTCTAGAGACCGGTACTTCCAGTTGTTGCTCAACTTAACAAACAAAATGTCAGTTCCCGGAGAGCCAGTTGAGACCAAGATGGGGCTATTGTCCATTAAAGGTGCTGCCACTGCCATTACGTTCTTCCTCGGACTAGGGATGTTTCTCATGGCATTTGCTTCCACGGAATGGCTTGGTTTGGACGAGGGTATATCTATTTCCTTGTGGAAGAGCTGTTCCAAGGACTACAAGACACAGGTGTGGACGTGTGTGGCATGGGATGTCTTACCAGGTGAGCTCATCATTCTTGTTTTAAGGGTTAACCATGTTACTCGTTTTGGACGGACATCAAAATAGTCTAGTTTAGGGATAAAGTGTAACAAAATATCTTTGACCCAAGAAACACATTTTTTAAATGAGGATTTAGAAAGATGTCTTTTTTACATTATTGTTGTAAACTGAAATCACTGTCCTGTCAGGATTGTCTGATTGTCGGTCCTATCAGACAATCCTGACGTGAAAATGGTAAGAAATATCGGTATTTATTTGTCTAATAGTATTTTATATTTATGTCCGAGAGCAAATTGACCACATTTCCAGACTTTTAAAGATAATATTTGTGTACAATCCCCTTTTCTGGTTGTGTATATATATTATTCTTGGACGTGTTACCATGTTGTCAATGTCACTGACATTAGCATGGGGTACATGTAGCTGAGATGAGATATTTAGTTGAGTTCTTCCATGCATAATGCGTGTCAATCTCTCTGTCATATAACAAGCACTAGGTCTGTATCTGGATAATCTTACTTGTCAATAAAATCATCGATAAAATTCGTTAATAAGGGAAAGCCACACTTAACTCTTTCTCCTCTAATTGTTATACATCGACAATCAATAACTGACCATGCCAATTACACGGAAATGGCACCTAACCTAACACTAATCTGCTAAGCAGCATGGAAATTGGAATGTTTTTTATTTCATGTAGATTAATTTGGTTTGATAAACAAACTAAAAAATAACCTGAGTTCGATCTGAAGGTAAACAAAAGCACAGTATGCTTATTTAGTTTGATTTTGTGTGTTTTTTGTTTATTGTTTAACGCCGCACTCAGCAATATTCCAGCTTTATGACGTCAGTCTCTATATAACCGAGTCTGGACCAGACAGTCCTGTGGTTAACATCATGAGCATCGATCCACGCAGTTGGGATACGATGACATGCATCAACCAAGTCAGCGAGCCTGACCACCCGATCCCGTTAGTCGCCTCTTTAGACAAGCAGAGTCGCTTTACGGCAAGCATGGGTTGTTGACAATACACGAACACCCGCATTGTTAAATTTGTCTGTTAGTGTGTGTCTAGTGTCATTCATGTTAACATCACGAATGAAAACCGCTCGCTTGTTTCGCTCTTATTTCCTCGATCTCATTAATTTGATGATTTGCCACATCTCATAACGTCTCTCACATATGTGCACCTGTGTTAGATTGACAGACCCTCTGTGATAGTATCCACAATGTGTTGGTTTCTTGTTAATCAGGGGAGGAGGGTTATCTGTACCATTAATCTAACCCCGTGCGTGATATGCACCAATCACTCTAGGATTCTCATAGACATCTTACGCAACCAGATATGTCTTCAGCCAAGTTGGACGAACACCTAGGAAGTATTGTTCCGTGACCATTGAAATTTCATTGCGCAATAGAACCTTGTTTCCCCTTCCCACCATGATGCTGTGATTGCTAATAACATTCAAACATGACTTCATTTAGGAATTGTAATTAACTTTGTGTAATTTCAACTCAGAAATGAGATTCATTTGTAAATTACAATCCGTCAAGCAAAGCGCCATGCTATTTTCATGTGTGTAATTACATAGATAGTAATATGACAAATCCGCCACAGTGATCCCTTTGATGGTAATGTAATTAGAAGATGTATTGCCCAACGGCAGATTTCATGCTTGTTCTAGGATCGCAGATACTGTTATGTTCTGTCGCGCCTTGTTCATTCAGAACCCAGACTAGACTGGGACAGTCTTTATTCCAATTCAATAAAATATAATGAAAATTAAAGAACAGAACGAACTAACCACCCTAGAAATATGAAACAATAGAAAAAGAGCACACCAATGACAAGGTACAAATCAGTGCTTTTAAAAAAGCGCTGAAACTGAGACTGCACCCAGTCCTATCCAGGGCCTGCGTCATAGTTTTCATTGCTGGCATCAACCTAAGTTGCTGTCTTTATTCATATACACTGATGCATACTCGACCAACCTTTCCTGCCTCACGCAACCTTCTCTGTTTAGGCAACAGAGGGAACTATATTTTCATTTGACCTTTAAACATGCTAAAATTGACACTCCTCCACATTGCACAGAAATACTAAAGTTGAAACTCTGATTGACGCTGATGAAACCAAATTCATTTGACATTTGGTTTGTCACATGCTATCGTTAAACATGTCAGTGAGAGAAATAGATTTGATTTGATGTTTCGACTAAGTGTTCGGATTTTCAAATGCATCAGTCAGATTATCCTTCCCCCGTGAGACCGCCTCCGTGGTCTAGTGGTAGAGCGTCCGCCCGGAGAGCGGAAGGTCCGGGATTCGATCCCCGGCCGCGTCATACCAAACGACGATAAAAGATGGTACTTGTTGTTACCCTGTCTGGCGCTCGGTATTAAGGGCTAAAACAAGGACTAGTCTGGTCGGAGTCAGTATACTGTCTCTGAGTGGGGTATTCATGTTAAACTGCGGCATGGTATCTCAGTGTGCTGGCACTATAAGTCGGCATCAGTCCGGACTAGAACAAGCAGCAACACACACACGTGCATTCACGTTACTATAGAAGTGCAATATTCTTCGACGCGACGTTAAAACCAATTTCACCTCACCTATAGATGCGGGGAAAGGGGGAAAAGGCGGTCCTGAAAACTATCAGGATATTACTTTCATGAGCATACTTGGAACTTATACACTCCAGTAAAATAATAAAAGCTAAGATTACTGCAGGGAAACAGCCAGACGTTTGATACGGGTACTATCCAGCAGTCAATGTGCAGAAGAAACTATTTACCTTGAGCAAAGAAAGATTATATGTAGCTTGTCGACTTCAGAAAGACCGTAAAGTGTGAATAGAAAACGTCTTTTACTCGTTTCCATTAACATTGATTTTTCCGATATATTCTCGAGTCATTTGAATCAGTATTGACACCGTGCTACTTGTAGTGCCTTAAAGTTAGATAAACACTGAATACGACTTATACACATGTAGATCCTTGGTAGAAATCCATGGTTACAAATTGTACACGGTTCGCCTCAAATATATTTCGTGGCTTGTCAGCACCATACCCATGCTTGTGGGTTTCACCAAAAAGGTAAACGTCTGACACATACATCACTTCTGGCTTTCCTCCCACTTTAAACTGACACGCGGTGATATAACTCGAATACTGTTCAGGGCGGCGTTAAACCGGTGTCACAAATTGTAAAAAAGTTATAATTTTTTTATTACATTTGGATATGCCTCAATATACCAGAATGTACGCGATAACAATTGACCAAAAATGTGAAAATTCCATTACATGGCATTTCTTCACAACACTGGTATGGTACGAACAACAGTTGCCGTATATCAAGGAATGATAGCATCTCGGTATATAGGTTACAATCGCAGCATGAACATACGTCCATTATGCAAATTATAGGAAATACCTGGCGCTAGATGAAGGACAGGCGGATCAGGAATAGTGGTTGATGAAGGATGATGGAATGTTTTGTAATCTTAATAACACTGCAAATGAATTCCATGGATTCGATTCCTAGATTCATCCGTTTATGACTTTGCCCTATTAACACAATAACCGTTCTCTTTCAAAGGGACAAACGCCTTGCGTCTCTTTCCTGTCAGTATCAACTAAGTGTGGTTTCGAATCCCATCTTCACCTCTGCCATGTTGGTCTGACCAAAGTGACCTATGTCCACCACATGCGTCTCGTTGACTTTACTCCAAAATGAATACGATATTACTGAAATAAATACGAAAATCAATACGAAATAACTGCAATACTGTTCAAAGTTGTGTTAAACCCAAATCATTTCTTATTTGCTGATCCCCGAAATATATACCATCAGTAGAGATGTACGATGATACAATCCACTAGATAGTTCACGTCTACAGAACCGATAGCATTCTAAATTACCAACAGCCGAAATATTGCTGTGTCGTCAGTAGGGATCAACGTTCATACAATCTATAGACAGTTCACGTCTACAATACCAACAGCCGAAATATTGCTGTGTCGTCAGTAGGGATCAACGTTCATACAATCTATAGACAGTTCACGTCTACAATACCGACAGGCGAAATATTGTTGTGTCGTCAGTAGGGATCAACGATCATACAATCTATAGACAGTTCACGTCTACAATACCGACAGCATTTATAAATTACCAACAGCCGAAATAGTGCCGTGCCATCAGTAGGGATCAAGGATCATACAATCTATAGACAGTTCACGTCTACAGAACCAATAGCCATGCATATTACATTCGAACAGAATTCTCGAAACAGCGTATCGTACAAAGGTGAGTGAGTTGGGTTTAACGCCGCTTTGAACAGTATTCCAGTTATTTCACGGCGTGTCAGCTTAATGTGGGAGGAAAGCCCGAATTGATACACGTCTCAGATGTTTACCTTTTCGGTGAAACCCCCGAGCATGGGTATGGTGCTGACAAACCTAGAAACACAATCGAGGCGAACCGGGATTCGAACCCACAATCATAGGTTTCTGGCGTGCCCAAGGGACCGAACTCTGCACAGCGAATAGCGGCGCCTTAGACGACTGGGCCACCCGTGCCCCCGTATTGTACAAGAACTAACAGTCATAAGGCATGCTGGTCAAGTCGAAGTGTATGTGCTACACCAGTGAATTATTTGCTTTTATTCAGTTATTCGCTTTAGTTTTTAATTGTAATGCTTTGAAATGAGGAATACTCTCAAAAGAGCTTATGCATGTACCAGTGGCATGATACTAACACCTTTCATTCAGCAACTAATACAAACCACACTGACATGTCTATGCCGAATACGGAGTTAAATTTCACCCACCCATCCACCTACCCACCTACCTAACCTGATAGGTCTTGGTTTGTTATCACCATAACTGTACCTCTAAAATCCACGACGTGCATCAGGTTGGGCTTTCTTCTCATCTTCAACTGACACCCGTGAAATACTTTATCGAGGAGATGCCACACCAAACTCACTCACCCACTCACTCCTGTTCTGTTGCAGATTTCGTGAGAGCGGCCCAAGGATTCTGCGTGGTCGGCATCCTCACCTACGCCCTGTCCCTGATGATCCTCGTCGCCTACATTACAGTGCCCACTCTACAGGAAACAAGAGGGGTTCTTATAGCCTTATGTCTACTAATATTTTCAGCAGGTGAGTTATATGACGTAGATGTAAATCGTTTGTTCCGATGTTCCTCGCAGGATTTATTTATTGAAGCTTTGCGATTTGTAAATATTACACGAGAACACCGAGAAAATATGCAGCCTACATAATGCTGAAGAAGAGCACAATTTTGTTTGCCAAAATTATGCAGCGTGAAAGGGCGAGTAAAATCATTCAACCGGAGTAATCAGTGTTCCTGCAGCAATACATGACACGGTCTAACAACAGTAATAGAGATTGGTCTCATTCACCCGGAGTCATCAATGTTACTGCAGCGACACATGGCGAGGTCTAGCATCAGTAAAAGAGATTAGTCTCATCCACCCGGAGTCATCAATGTAACTGCAGCGACACATGACGAGGTCTAGCAACAGTAAAAGAGATTGGTCTCATCCATCCGGAGTATCAATGTAACTGCAGCGATACATGGCGAGGTCTAGCATCAGTAAAAGAGATTAGTCTCATCCACCCGGAGTCATCAATGTTACTGCAGCGACACATGACGAGGTCTAGCAACAGTAAAAGAGATTGGTCTCATCCACCCGGAGTCATCAATGTTACTGCAGCGACACATGACGAGGTCTAGCATCAGTAAAAGATATTGGTCTCATTCACCCGGAGTCATCAATGTTACTGCAGCGATACATGGCGAGGTCTAGCATCAGTAAAAGAGATTGGTCTCATCCACCCGGAGTCATCAATGTTACTGCAGCGATACATGGCGAGGTCTAGCATCAGTAAAGGAGATTGGTCTCATCCACCCGGAGTATCAATGTTACTGCAGCGATACATGACGAGGTCTAACATCAGTAAAAGAGATTAGTCTCATCCACCCGGAGTATCAATGTAACTGCAGCGATACATGGCGAGGTCTAGCATCAGTAAAAGAGATTAGTCTCATCCACCCGGAGTCATCATTGTTACTGCAGCGACACATGACGAGGTCTAGCAACAGTAAAAGAGATTGGTCTCATCCACCCGGAGTCATCAATGTTACTGCAGCGATACATGGCGAGGTCTAGCATCAGTAAAAGAGATTGGTCTCATCCACCCGGAGTCATCAATGTTACTGCAGCGACACATGGCGAGGTCTAGCATTAGTAAAAGAGATTGGTCTCATCCACCCGGAGTCATCAATGTTACTGCAGCGACACATGGCGAGGTCTAGCATCAGTAAAAGAGATTGGTCTCATCCACCCGGAGTATACATGTTACTGCAGCGATACATGGCGAGGTCTAACATCAGTAAAAGAGATTGGTCTCATCCACCCGGAGCATCAATGTTACTGCAGCGATACATGGCGAGGTCTAACATCAGTAAAAGAGATTGGTCTCATCCACCTGGAGTATCAATGTTACTGCAGCGATACGTGGCGAGGTCTAGCATCAGTAAAAGAGATTGGTCTCATCCACCCGGAGTATCAATGTTACTGCAGCGATACATGGCGAGGTCTAACATCAGTAAAAGAGATTGGTCTCATCCACCTGGAGTATCAATGTTACTGCAGCGATACATGGCGAGGTCTAACATCAGTAAAAGAGATTGGCTCATCCACCTGGAGTATCAATGTTACTGCAGCGATACATGGCGAGGTCTAACATCAGTAAAAGAGATTGGTCTCATCCACCCGGAGTATCAATGTTACTGCAGCGATATCAAACAAGTCATTTGTTTAACATCCCCTATACCTATCTATCAATATACATAGCAAATCACAAAGTACCATATTACTTGCCAGAACTCAATAACATGCTTAAATGTTTTCCTCGATCGTGTTCGATGTGGGCGGCAAACTTAATATTTGTTTACGACGGTTTAACTCGCCACCGGCATGATATGATCTTCCCATATCGATCCTCTTGAAAAATATTGACCTCTTTATTTGAACTGAAAACACCAGTATTTACTTTGAGGCAATTAAGTGGCACTGTGCTCCTGCCAATAAAAGACATTTGCGATGACGTCATTCAGACAGTCCTTATCCAATAACCAGCCAACGAACGCCATTTGCAGGGTAACCAACATTCTCCTCAAAACCGGAACGTGCATCAAACCGCCGGACTAGTTAGGGTAGTCATCCTAATTAAGAGAATGACCCCTAATGCCTCCTGAGCTTCGTGGCCCCTGTCGAACTCCCCGCGTCTCTGATTTTGTGTCTGTGATGTTTGAAATGGTTGGTTATCAAAGAAGGCTGTGGGTCTCCCAGCAGATCCCAGCTGGCACGGGACAATTACCTACTGCCGTACACTCTACGTCCGTAATGAAGTACGCTCAACTACATTGATCTGAAGACACGGGGATTTTAATAGCTTTTTCCTATTTCATAAATCGATGGCGGCATGCACCGCATACACTGCCTTTATTTAATTTCTTCTCAGTATTGGAAATCTGGGGAAGACGGCAAAGCAATCGATGGACCCAGTACTGATATCGGCTTCGTCATAACTACCGTGGTCACGGGAAGGGCAGCAGCATCGCATATGGGGACCCCTGTCGTCTCGTGCACAATGCCGTCCATCTTCACGGGTAATCTTGGCGGGGAGGCTACAGCTAATATGCCCCGCCACTTGGGATAGTTCGACGGGAAAACCTGCCACACAAAGGAAAACTGGCTCATTACCGACATGGAGCCTCTTAGGTATTCTGCGAGTGTCTCAAAGTGCTATGACGTGTTGAAATCACACGAAACTGTATGAATATACATCCGTTCAGCCCTTTCGTCAGCAGCCCATTAAAGCATCCGTCGATACACTCAAGCGGCCATAATCGAAACTCCTTTTTGGGTGAACAGACATCAAAATGACGTGTCAACTTTATGTTACGAGTAAGCACGCGAATATGATCTATTCTGTTTTTTTCGGATCTCATCCTTTCTACTATGAGCATTATAGGCCCAACTCTCGCTAGTCTTGAAGACCACAGGGGCATCCTTTCCGCGATATGATCTGATACCATACTCGGAAGATCCAGAGGAAAGGGGTTTAAGGTTGGAGACAAGGTGATGGATTTTCGTTGGGGTTGGGTTAGGATTGGGGTTGATGTTGGTGTTGGTGTTAGGTTAGGGGTTGGATTATGGTTTGGGTTTGGCGTTGTGGTATTAGTTGTGGTTGGAATTGGGGGTCGGGGTTTGGGTTTGGGTTTGGGTTTGGGCTTTAGTGTTTGGGTTTGGGTTAAGGCTCTGCACGATCCAAATGGGTTCGGGTGTATTCACGCTTTCAGACTGCGACTGTTGTCACTGGTTAGATCAATATTGACCCAGGTTAGAACATAGGAAGCTGATCTTGGGGTTTCTCGCTTATCAGCATGTTGTTTGTTGCAACAGAATTCGACAAAACGGAAGTTTACCTGAGCAACGAATCCATTACATTGCGACGGGAAAGGATGTATTTCAGCCATAAGTCAGACTAAGAGCGCGAGCGTGTTCGGCCAGGGTTGTCATCCATCACGTTAAGAGCTTCTTGAAACTTGGTAGACAATGTGACGGGATTTGGATATTCTCGGGAAAGTCCTTTATAATGATACCCATGTGCCACGACATGACAATCGATGTGATAACTGTACCCGATAGCTTGAGTAAGTATTTACAAGTTCCGAAGCATGGATTCTATATCCTTGGCCGAATCCTTATAATGGAGGCTGGCGCTCGGTCATCCATCATTGTCCAACACTTACACTCAATCCGTATAATACAATACTTCACTCATATAATTAGTCTTATAGTTGCAGTAAGAGGCTTGGAGGGTATTAATGCTGCTATTTCCGTGAAGACGTACCAGAATGAGACCACAGCTTAATAACGTGTAACGATGTTACAGTGCATCTGTCTGTGTTGTGCGGTGAAGAGAATTCTTGTTTATTGCATGCGAATAAAAGGAATATTTATAATAACAGAGTATGTGGTTGTGAAAATTTGAAACGTTTTGATTCTTGTTCGGTAAAAATGTTTTCTCTGACCAACAATTTAATTTAATAATAATAGCAACAGCAATAATTTAATTTCAATAACATCTGTTTGCTGCTCAGGACCAGTCACTTCCCACTCGAAACCGTCTATGTGTGTAAATATAAAATGTAGATTATGCAATGAATTTAATGAGACTGGCAAACACATTGTCAGTGGATGCCCGGCTTTTGCACAACCATAGTACTTAAGCGACATGATCGGGTGGCTCGATCATTATATTACCGTCTTCGCCATGCTTGTGGTTTTGACACAGAGGTCCATCCATGGTACGACCGAGAATATGTAGATGGCGTCATGGAAAATGATAAATACAAAATTCTTTGGAATAGGCCCGAATACAGCCTCAGACTTTTACAGGACAACAAACCTGATCTTGTCCTTTTTGATAAATCCAATGAAATCATTTATATTATTGAATTCTGAATTCTGCCCCTTTCGACACTTATGTGATTGACAAGGAAAAACATGGCAAATATGCGGACCTCGCTTTCGAAATGTCACGCTTGCATCCCAAGAACCAAGTTGTCCGACTCCCCATTGTTCTTGGTGCCTTAGGTTTGGTACCTCCCAATCTGTTGACAGACATTGGGAGAGTACCCGGGTTTACTATCAGGAATACAGGAATACAGGTTGCAGTGTTGGGGAGTCTTCACATTCTCCGAAATGTTCTGGGTGGGTTTGACTAGGCAGCACTTGTGAGAAGTCCCATTTGCTGTCTGGGCTGCGTGTAGAGGGGGCAAGGGCCCCGAGCTGATGATGAGCCTTACCAGCCTGACTGTGCCAGGATCACCCAAACCCTCTTTGCTGCATTTTTTATTTTTAATCTGATAGTAATAATAATAATAATAATAATAATAATAATAATAATAATAATTTATTATTATTTTTTTAATTCTATTATTATCCAATGGACAACTCTACAGCATGACCCTAGCGGGAGCAATATGCCAATAAATATATTAAAGGTCGAGATCTAACACAACTATATTTTCCTATTGCAGGCTGTATGACGCTGATGGCTCTCATCGTCATGGGAATCAAGGGCAAAGACTTCTGTGTAGATATACGACGAGATATCTCGAAGTTACTCCATTACTTTGCATTACGAGTTAACGCATATGGTTCCTTCTACATCGGCTGGTCCTATGTTATAGCCATCCTTTCCTCTATCGTCACTCTATCTAGCTTTGCCTTCTGTATGCTGGAATTCATCAGGGTCAACGACATGCCAGTCAGACAGCACTGAGTCCCGAAGAACGTTTAACCGAAACTGAGTGTCTGCTCAAACAGGTGTGTATAATCTGGTACTGAGCATGCATGGACTTCTGTGATGGAACATCATGGTCAACACGTGTGTAAGGAGAGACGTAAGGACTTTCATGACGGTTTCAATCGTTGAGGTGTGACTTGAGTCGGGTGCTGTACACCTGGACGTTCCATAATGGTTTTCCACAACTGCATGTTTCCCATCACCATTACCACCAAGCTGAACGTGGTGTTATTTGAAGGTGCCAGCTCAAAGTCTACCTTAATGTGATCGACCAGTCCCCCAGCCTTAATGTGTTACAGACTAGAACGTAATGACAACAAGCGTGTATGCTGTTTCTGATTTATTATTTGGCTGTTTTTTTGTGAGAAACGTCGGGGAACAAGATTCACTTTAACGATAAAGCGAGTTAGCGGGCCGAGAGAATGCCTGTTTACAAATCAATGAGTAAATAGCATGGCTTTGTTTATGGGAGAGTTAGTTACCGAGAATGCAACTCATGGTAAGACTTTTTGAATGCCATGGATGTGATATAATGGATGAGCGAATGACGAAATCATAAACCTGAACAAACCCTGAAATATCACTACAGTGTTTTACAACACTAAAGCAAGGGCATCACATACCAAACGTAAAGCTATCAACAAATTATTGACAATTGTAATGGACTATGCGAAGTTAAATACGTTTTAATATTAAATCTGAATGGGTTCCATATTTAATTTATAAAACCTGTGTATGTATGTCAACATCAGAAGGCATCCCAATTGATAATGGCGATGAAATGAAAGGTACGAAAAAGATGACAGGCTCCGAAAGGTCATGGATGAACTAGAACGGTATACCACTTGATGCCAGACTGTTTATGATGACTCCATCAGTAAAGACCAATCGGTCCGATGTGTATATCCCGAAGATGGATATAATTTTATAGGGAGGCTCGCTCGGAATGAAAGCCTTAGAAAGGATATGGACAGATGATAGCGTTAGTCAATGAATTGACGTTAGGGTCAATACAGTCAACATGAAATGAATTCATGACTACACCAGACATCAGAATGGAGACGTAGGCCATTTCGATGAAGAAAACAGAACGGTCTGAAATGCCACTGGATGGGTAATTAATGTCGCTTGGTGATTAATCAACTTTTGTGTAAAAAGATTCAATTTGGATTCCCATTTTCAGGCATAGCCCCAGTGAATGTTCTGTTGTGAGAAGAAATGGAATGTTTCTTAATGGACGTCAGTACGAATAGAACGAGACTGAAGTGTTCAAATTTATTTGGCCATGACTCCATTTCTTTGGCGTGAACTTTTAAGAGAAAGCCTTCTTACTAGACACAGGATGATGACGGAGTGTTGATGTGTTCCGGGACCTGGCAGAGTCTATATTGGACATGGAGCTACTTCCAGGCACCTCTACCATGCCTGTAAACCGCCATACTATCATGTACCATCATGTTATCATGTATACATGCCAATGTATTCACGTAGTACGGGAGACATTGTATGGACATCATACACTCAGGGCATGTGCTAATACCAATTTCTCATAAGAAACAGAGATAGAGTAGACTGTCTTCAAAAAACAATTGAACCGATATCTGAAACCGGTTTGATAAACCGTTATCTGCAACCGGTTTGATAAATCGTTGTCTAAAACCGGTATGATAAACCGCAATCTGTGACGACACAAGTGCTGAGTTCGATAGTTACCTGGAAGAGGACGGTTCAGAAATATTCCACAGTAGTGCTTCTGTCTTGACAAATGTGACCATCAACAGAGTAAATGACAACGGAAAATGTTAATTACTGCTGTAACACCAGGACAGTGAACATGATTGATCAGTGCCAGCGCTCCACTGATTCCGTTAATGTCTCATTTTCACAATATCAATTTATCCTGCGTCTGATAAGGACCTGCTGTACGACCATAACGGATCAAGTCCTGCTAAGTTGAAACCACAATTTGTTCGTCCCTTAACGATTCTGAGAACACTTATTGTTACGTACATGTTATAGTGAATGTCTAAAGAAGGAACATGTGTGCTTGTTGTTAAATACGTTTCCTTGTGTTAGAATTTTAACGGGATAAATATTTACTTTATCGTCAAACATTCTGACATTGGGATGTCTAGAAATTTGATAACAATAAATTTGACATCAATGACTTTAGGTTAATTCCGTGAAATGCTCTATTCAAATTATTATGTTGATTTTCCAGTCGTAGTTCCAACACGGTGGGAATAATAATGACAATAATCACACACTGATGTTCATTAATGTTCTTCTTCACTGTTAGGTCTTACTCTTCATTCATTCCAACGAAATATTCCCATTTACATCGACCTTGAAATACTCAAAATACCCTGGGGTGAACAGATATATACTGTGTTTGTTTAAGCCTTGAGTTGAAATTGAGATAAGTTATCATTCAAATATCAGGCATCCACATATTCTGAAAGAATTGTACATTATGGGTGAGATTTTTCACTTCCGAGTTTACTGTGATCTCTATAGGCGTGTTTGGACATATTGACATAATCACTATTTTGTTATACTATCCTCAAATATTAAACACATCTCCTTAATTATGTTTAGACTTATCTTGGGTTGGAATATTCGATTGACCTTGATTACAAGCCTTGGTTTGTCAGCACCATCCCCGGGTTGTAAGTGAAAGGATACTTTTTCGGTCAATATTTTAAAAAACACAATTGTTTTACTATCGGTTTCTGTGAAAGGAGAAGCTACACAATACAACAATTCAGAATCCATTTTTTTCAGGAGACCCACTATGTATAACGAGCAATTAATGTTTGGGGTAAATATTTTTTTCAGGAGCATTTTTTTTAATCCCTTGCCTCTCCACGAATATCAAATGGTCGGTCCTACGTGACCTTCATGTGACCTTCATGTGACCTTCATGTGACCTTCAAAAAGATGTGAAACCTGCCGACCATTATTCAGATGAACCGCCGTGATGTAATTCAACTCACTCAATCTGCGTTTATTATACCAAAATAAAGTCTCATTTCTCGGGTACTACATGATTGTTAAGTGTCTAGAAAAGAGGTTTTCCCCTATATCGTCCTATGTCATGATAGAACGAAAGTTTCCCTCTTCACCCGCACCAACGTCCGTACTTCACCCAAACACTACCTCTAACACGATCCAACAATCTCACTCACATATTCACTCCTACCCCTAAGCACAAGATTCTTTTCTATTCCTTGTGTCACTACCCAATCAAATAGACTTTTCAGCCAATCCATTTCGGTTGCCATGCCTTCACGGTTGCATCGATGGGGTCACTAATACCCTTAACGTGCATTTGCACTTAACTTGTAATAAATCCATAGTCTATATATGATGTTTGAATTATTAGAATGTTCTTTGTTGACATTACTTGTTGATTTGATGTTACAAGGTTGTGATAAACGTCTGATGTTAAATACCACCTCTTAAGTATTCCATTTTCACTGTATATAATATAGGATGTTATGAAATAAACCACAAACATTGACGCAAAACGGTACACCAGTGTTTTCAGGTGAATAACAAATCTCAAAAGGAAATCAAGACACCCTGTTTTTCTAACCTATAATATTCTGGATTGAATATTTTTAATAACACATTTAACAAAACTACGCAAATATAATAATTGTTAAAAAATGACATTGATCATATTTTCTGCCGTGGCGTAAGATATAACCTTGCAAAAATGACGAAAAAGTATATAACAGTTAGTACCCTTTGGGCTATATTTCTAATGTGATTACAGTCTTCTATCATTTGCTTTTTTACACTGATGTACTTTTAAGAGGCAACACAATATGATTCTGTGAAACATTTTGTTCCAATTTATAGTTTCATGTCTCAGATTTTATAAGATCTCAGTAATTTATTTGCCACATTCGTGATACCGTTGAAGTTTTGCTGTTCGGGGTTCAGACTATTTCAACAGACTACGATCTTACCTTTAAAACATTAAGTTAACTGAAACTGATATTTAAGACATGGTATAAAGCACGAGCAGCACTGTCGAGTAGTTCCTATGTACTGGAGCGTGTATCATCATCCAAGATGGCTGTCGATGGATATGATCTCAATTGTATGCCCTGTTACATGTATGTAGTCGTGCGTTGTGTTGTAGTTGTGTTTGCAACACGATAAAACGGCCTGTGTTGAAATTCGTGTGTCATTCACAAACATTCCATATTAAGTTTTTGAAGCCATTTATGCAAAATATTCGCGCGGATTTAGTCTTGGAATGCAACATAATGAATGTACGACGTAAATCTAATGTTTCGTTCTGTGTAAGCTATATGCTTAAATAGAAATGTAAATCTGACTTTTCGTGCTGTGTGAACCAGAGTGGTTCGTTGTGAATGCAATAGGTAATATCTTGTCAGGTGAGGATACATAGCAATTATACTGTACTATAGGTGATGCTTATCCCTTTCCGAGATCACATCACATACCAATAATACACAAATAGGTCCATATATGAACGTTTTATGAAAGTATTTTTGAAGTTTATTAATTATTCAGAGATAACTAACCACGTTCATGGCGATAACAAACGTTCTGAATATAATTGTCACATTCGTATATTAATATAACTCCCTTGTTCCCTCTCAAGTCGTTCGTTTTGAAATGTGTAATGTGTGAACGTATTGTTTTTCCCTCAGTGTCCCCCGGTTGTAGAATGACAACTTCAAGGTTGTGGAGTATGGTTGTGATTTAGAAAACGAGAAAGGTTGTGAAATCGACATCTAACATTCATTGTAATGAAATTATGCCTTGTGCTTGCGGTTCCTTGAATAAACTTATAATTTCAAAGTAATGTACTAATTATCGAAACCATTATTCGCGAGGTTTAGTGTAGAGTTTTATTCATCGCGTGCACGGAGTCCACTCTGACCACTTTCACTGTCCCCGAAGACATCGGCATTACGCGGGTCATTTCAGAAAGTATGAGACATCTTAAACTTGAAATACATTTGATCCGTCAAACATTATTATTTTGTCGAAATTAAATAGCAACTTGTATGATAGAAAGCGTCAGTTTTCCCCAACCGTAAGTGCTCGAGCACATGGATGTGGAAAGGTACCCTTTTATCCGCCTAATGTCACACTCATCTAGAGACAGCATGTTGCAAGTATACTTAGACCGCTTTTATCGAAACCATTTTGAAACACAAAACTTAGAGAAATGAGAAACCTTTGTCAAACTTTCCGTAAAACTACATAAGGATTGATACAGGCATCCCGAAGATTCGGAAATCAGTTTTTAATCCTAAAGACAAACCTTTGAACTAATGACTACAATTAATGTCAAAACATTCCAATCTCTATATCGTGTAGGGCTGCAATTGTCTTTACCAAAGTGGTACAGCCTTACGGGAGTTAATGTCAAAACGTTGACTGTCAAGCCGCGATCGTAGTCCAAATATTACAGTGTATCGAAAAGGGGTTCAATAAGTAGAAGAAGTAAAGGTTTTTTGGTTGTGCATAATTTATCAGCATACAGCTTACACAGGCTTCAGTACATTTATATCTTAAAAAAATAGAATTCAGATTAGACACTCATTAATAAACTAAATAGATATCATGCCGGGGCTCAGGGAGCTTACATATGATATAGAAGATGAGAGATCTCAAAACCAGTAGAAACTACTATGATGATACGTACGTATCATAACTTTGAATATGACTTTAATCCAAACAACCAGGATCACAACTTATTTCCAAATCGCGTATCAACTGTACATGACATAGCCCTAATCGCTTAATTATATGTGGGGGCACGGGTGGCTCAGTCGTCTAAGGCGCCGCGATTCGCTGTGCAGAGTTGCGTCCCTTGGACACGCCAGAAACCTATGATTGTGGGTTCGAATCCCGGTTCGCCCCGATTATGTTTCTAGGTTTGTCAGCACCATACCCGTGCTCGTGGGTTTCATCGAAGTGGTAAACGTCTGAGACCTGCATCACTTTGGGCTTTCCTCCCACATTAAGCTGACACGCCGTGATATAACTGGAATACTGTTAAAAGCGGCGTTAAACCCAACTCACTCACTCACTCACTTAATTATATGTACATGTACCACTATATATTGTGTTCGTATGTACGTCTCCTAAATGTACAGTCGTAAGTTTACATTGCGGTGTCTACGTGCAGAAAGCGACCATAGCGCTTTGTTAAAGTCACGTTAGTCGTAGCACAAAGGTCGCTTTGTGCAACCAGGCCTTTGTGTTTATATATAGATAAGTGTGCTTTCAACGGTGCTATTATTTGTTCCATGAGTTCATGTTATAAATCGCCTAAACAGTGTTTGAACGTGCGATGTTTGATGTCAATGTTTTTGTTGGCAGGCTGTATGTGTACTTGATTGATAGAGCGGCCGATATGCAGTCTTTGTATTAATTATTTATGTGCGTGCTATTCAGTGTCACAAATAGCTTTGTATTATTAGAGATATATTTAACTTTTAAAGATATGCATTCCTGGATTCATTCCTGTACAATAATATTCGTCTCGTGGAATTATAGTCGGACCTCAGAAGAATTAAGAATTAAACGCTGAGATTAGTCAGGAATGACAATAAAAATAACCTGCGATGGTGTTATATTTTTGAACGAACACAGTTCTACAAATAGCATTCATATACCTGGTAAAGTTGTTACAGTCCCTGCTTTGCTTTGTTGTCTAACCTCGAATAAAAATGCAATAATGTCAACCTGTTATTCATTAAAACTGTTCCCATGGATGTGTGTCCTCTTATTTCTTCGGCAATCATACGTCTACTGGACTTCAGTCAGTTTTCAAACGTCGTGTTGACGTATCAGTGGTCGATCATCAACCCATGACATCAGGGTACAATATTAACATACTATATCAGCCAGGGTATCAATCCCCGACATGAGGGTACGATAACATAAACATACCATATCAGCCACGACATCAACCAACGATGTCGGGGTACAATAACATACTATATCAGCCAGGGTATCAACTCACAAGGTCAGGGTACAATAACATACTATATCAGCCACGACATCAACCAACGATGTCAGGGTACAATAACATACTATATCAGCCAGGGTATCAACTCACAAGGTCAGGGTACAATAACATACTATATCAGCCACGACATCAACCAACGATGTCAGGGTACAATAACATACTATATCAGCCACGACATCAACCAACGATGTCAGGGTACAATAACATACTATATGAGCCAGGGTATCAACTCACAAGGTCAGGGTACGATAACATACTATATGAGCCAGGGCATCAACCCAAGACGTCAGGGTACAATAACATACTATATGAGCAAGGGTATCAACCCAAGACGTCAGGGTACAATAACATACTATATGAGCCAGGGTATCAACTCACAAGGTCAGGGTACAATAACATACTATATCAGCCACGACATCAACCAACGATGTCAGGGTACAATAACATACTATATCAGCCACGACATCAACCAACGATGTCAGGGTACAATAACATACTATATGAGCCAGGGTATCAACTCACAAGGTCAGGGTACGATAACATACTATATGAGCCAGGGCATCAACCCAAGACGTCAGGGTACAATAACATACTATATGAGCCAGGGCATCAACCCAAGACGTCAGGGTACAATAACATACTATATGAGCAAGGGTATCAACCCAAGACGTCAGGGTACAATAACATACTATATGAGCAAGGGTATCAACCCAAGACGTCAGGGTACGATAACATACTATATGAGCCAGGGCATCAACCCAAGACGTCAGGGTACGATAACATACTATATGAGCCAGGGCATCAACCCAAGACGTCAGGGTACAATAACATACTATATGAGCAAGGGTATCAACTCACAAGGTCAGGGTACGAAAACATACTTCAGCCAGTGAATCAACCAACGATGTCAGGGTACAATAACATACTGTATGAGCCAGGGTATCAACTCACAAGGTCAGGGAACGATAACATACTATATGAGCCAGGGTATCAACTCACAAGGTCAGGGTACGATAACATACTATATGAGCAAGGGTATCAACCCAAGACGTCAGGGTACGATAACATACTATATGAGCCAGGGTATCAACTCACAAGGTCAGGGTACGATAACATACTATATGAGCCAGGGTATCAA